TTGAATGAAACATCAAACCGAGATAACGAGAAAGTTCTCAACTGAGTGCATACAGGTGATGTGGGTAAAATCCGATCCAAGCCGAGTAATCCGATGATACAAAGGGTTACGATTGCACTGTGTCAAACAATTCCTCGGAACATTTCCCGTTGTGACAGACGATACAACACACACAAGGAGCCCACATTCCTTTGGAAACTTAGAAGCATCGTCTCTGAGCATAAGTTCGTCGACAGTACGAAGTGCCCAAAGTTGTATGGAATCGGGTGGTAAAAGTTGGCACTGTGGGACACCGGACCTAGATGAGAACAGAACTCTATGTGGGGACCAACCTGAGCATTGTATATTGAAAGCAATTTTACCGGTAGGAAGTACTGCCTCGCTTTACTCAGTGCCCTAGTTTTTTAGAGGCTAGTTTAGCATTATCGTCGTTCGCTATGTCAACCCTAAAGATCTCAATACTATGGTTGACTCTGGTTGGTTGATCTTAAGAGAAAATATCCAAGAATGTTTGAGACACAATAAATGGGGTCCTTGTAGTGGTAAACACGCAAACTAAGGTGTTTAAGGGAATCAAACTGAACCAAAGTCATTTTAGCTGTCTCAAAACCTGCTCTATGGGGTCTCAATTTTAGACACAAGTCTCTTTCTGCTCTTATCTACGTGTTCCGAAGAATGTTTGCCTTTCCCGAGTAGAAAGTGTCATCTTCATAATACCGAACGTTGCTGGTTTACAGAATGTCGATGAAATGCAGAATGAATTGTTTTCATGATAACACTGAGCCAGTGTTAACAGACTTGGGGTCTGAGTACGAACCGTCAACAACGACCTATATGTTCCATCCACGAAGGATGCTGGCAACCAGTTTGCATAGTTCATCAGGTAGTCCGTGTGATTATGATTTCAAAGCCCGATCACCACGGTCTTGCCACTGTCCTCAATTTCTTTGGTTCATCGAAACATAAACCATACTAGAAGATTTCGGCGCTTCACCCAGGACGTAAACAATACTTACTATCACTAATAAGCCCGTTAACCTCTACATGACCCAAAAGTTGCGTACTGATGATTCGCTTCAACAGGTTTGTAATAAACCTGCTATTGGATTTGTGATGTCACCCTCTCGGGGATAGAATGGACAGCTACTTTCCACAAAGACGAATATTAGTAGTTTTAGAAAGCGATAATATAGAAATGGTTTTTCACCAAGTATAACGAGACACCAAAAGAAACGAAATTCCGAAGGAATATTTTTGCACACCAATTGCACATACTCTTTTGATCTGGCAATCTTTCTTATAAGACCTAGAAGCAGCATTGTAATCCGTATTTCAATCCGGAGGTATGTGGATTCTTTGCAACTAATTAATTAGCTTTGCACCTAATTTTAGCTAGCTCTAAGGCTCTTGCACGTAACTTGCCGGCGCTTCGAATAACAGAACTAGAAATGAAACATTCATTTCCCTGCAAAACAGTATCCAATAAGTTAAAATTACGTCTGCCTCCAGGAGGTAAGACAGCAAATATGACCGTTATCGTATAAGCCAACTCCGGCCCTCGGTAAAAATAAGTACTCAAGTTAGTAACCGGGATAATGCAGATACGATGTATCGCCCGGAAAGGATATTTTTGTCTCGGTCAGAAATAACAAAGCCGGCCTAGCTGTCTCCAGATGGTGATGGAAGCTATTAAGATTGGAGTATATACGCCTTTTGTTGCAAAATTCCACTATAAATATGGAAAGACGTTCCGCTATAATTTTTGTTCTTTTTACAATCAGATATATTATTTTTAGATAAGATAAAGGGAATTATTACAGATTTGTTATAGCCCAATAACCATCCTATCAAAAAGTATTACTTAGCATTGGCCTGAAGTGTGGATTGGGTTTTTGTATGTCGCTGGCATGGAACTACAGTGAACTCCTTCATCGGGTCTTACGGGACCACCCCATACAAATGAAACACGCTCAACACCTCAAAACGAACTTGGCTGATGGAGGACAGAAACGCACACAAACATCCCGGGTGAGGAAAGGGTGGGAAAAGGAAAGAACAAACTGCTCCCTCACTCTTCGGACGAAATGCAGCCATTAAAGACTACTTCACGCCGATTTGCTGTGAGAGGGTAGTACTCGCATAACAATACTGAGATGGAGCTATCAAAGAAATGCTATAAGCTTATTTAGCAAGTCTTGATTATATTCATTTGTGTATTATTGTTTCTTTAATCTTGTTACGTTATACTTAGCTAGTTACTATCAGAACTGTTCCATTATCTTATTGATATCCATCAAGTATTTTAACGCGTCCTTTAATATATGAATCCTTCGACGTTAGAATAACATCATTATTAGAATATTTATGCGTGACAAAACTGTGTTTGGCCAATAGTATTTATTTCCTCGCCGGTAAGTACGGCAAGACAAAGACATTTCAATACAATAAAAGTTATCTACAGTCTCCACCATAAAGAACTTTGGCAAAGAAGTTGTGAAAGTTTTGAAGTGGGTCAAAGGGATTCTGTGCCAAGGGGTTAGGAGGGTATATCGTTCTGGACAGCCGCCAGTTGACACCATGTTTATTTACACCATTGGCTTTACCACAGCACAGTACATGCTGTTCGATTGTTCTCAATGAACAACGATGATGTGAATGAAAAGTTTAACAGTACCTACACGTCAAAAAGAAATACCATGTACATGTTTTAGTATAGGTAAAGCATACTTTTGAGAGAAGAGTTTTAATTATCAAAAATTATACGTACACGTAGAATTTATGCAAATTACTACGTCATGTTTTTATTTTATTTTTTGTATTTAGCTATATCATCGGAATAGTTCTGTAAATGGAAGAATTCCTAAATTTATGTTTTTAACGAAATAAATTTGAGTGATCTTACCAAAAGTGTTAAAGAATCGATATTAATGTGTTATTTTGATTTTTAATAAAAATATTTCACGATAAATGACATACCAAGTTACAGCGATAAGATAAGTGTAAATTACTATTACATTGATCGATTTTATTTATAACTATCAAAGGTCGTGCAGGTCAATGGTTCTTTTGTTTCTAAAATAAACACAAAAACTCTTATGTACAAATGAATGTGCGCAGGTAACTCGAACGTTCGTAGATTGTACCTGAATGATTCATGTCTTAATAACACCAATTGTTCAGTATAGTCTCAGTAGATATTAACGACTCGATTTCTCATAACGACATCGCGGAAACCTCTCATATCTAACCGACTTCAAGAAATGACGTGTCTCAATGACGAATGTTTATTTAAGAGTATAAATCGTTTGTTGATTAACCGATTCTAAACATCCTTTTTGTATAACTGAAAAATGTTTCGATATCAACTTGACTTGTAATTTAAATAATAGTTTAGAAAATATATATTGATTTCAAATAATATAATATTTTATATCTCTGCCATTAGAGTTATCTCGAGTATTATTAAAATATAGACATTACATTACACATATATATGTATATGTACATTGATAAAATAATTAACAATTATTGAAAAAGTTTCTTGTAGTAGGAGCGTTTTGATAAAAATGTATGACTTAGTCAATGGAACCTTTATATAACATCATTATTATTGTACAAAGTATTTTTATTACTTTTTTTTACTACAGTTTCTACTATATAGACATACAAATGTAATGTATTTCATGAATTTTTATGATTTTTTAATCTACTTTAGTCTGAGTTTTGTCCGTTAGTGTCATAACGTCTGTTAATGTATAATAATACATTATTATCTATAGTAATATGTCATCAATAGGTTACACATTAGAAGTAAAGATAAGACTTAGCATTTCTCCAATTTCTTAAAACATAAATAAATTTTCTCTTCTTAAAAGTCGTGTCTATATAAACATTAACGTAATTAGTTACAATATATAAATAGCTGTTAATTAATTGATATACTTCCAATATCTGAAAGGAATACAATTTTCTGTTTCTTATACTTAAATAATCAGATACATATTTCAACATTTCTAACAGAAGTAAGTTATAACTCAAGGAGAAGTTTCTTCATCAGCGGGTGGTATCTAACTTTTATCATTAGGTAGGTAGTTTCATAAGTTCGAGTCTCAAACAGACTCAAAGCCTTTTCACAGGTTGAATTTTGCGCCTTTTATGTATTAGAATGTGTCCTAATATCTATATGACGAGTCAAAAGTTTCTACGCTACCTATCTATAACAACAACTCCGTTTGAAACATTCGGTATTATATAATAAGTGTATCAAAATACTTAAGAATTCGTTAATGTGAGACCTTACTAACATCCCGTCCTATTCCTTCGTTAATCATAATTATTGTTGTTACATAACCTGATTCGATTATCATATTGTTTTAATGGTCGCCTGTGCATGTGTTTTGTGTGTGTGTGTATGTGTGTGTGTGTAGTGTTCCTAGTATCAAGGCACCTATCGTAAATGTTGACGACTCAACACAAAGGCGGTGAGAACGGCGAGAGGCAGGAAGGTCAAACTGATATTCAACAATCGACTTACCAAACAATATGACGGTTATGTTACTGTCTGAACTTATTTATCGCCTAGACAGAGGTGTTATATACATAGTTAGAATAAAGTATGTGAAGATGCATGTGTGGTGGTGGCGGTGATGGCGGTGGTCCGACACGTCACACGACGAACGAGAAACGAACACGAGGTGATAGGTGGTCGGTGGTAGAAGATACCGACCGGCCACGTCATATGAACTGAGACACGCTGTACCCGGGACGAAATATACCTTGAAACGATGTCTATTAGGACTTCCCCCGAAGGCGCCGACCACACCATAATACACTACACAGCACAGGGTGTCTTATGCAGCACCATCACTAGGATAAGGGTACACACACGCTCACCGATGATAACGAGTCCAAACAACGAAAAAAAAAAGCGAGGGTCCTAAGAAGGTCGAATGTGGTATTTTTTTAAGTAGAGCTGGCAACGTCGCGTCGTTCGTGGCCGGATGGACGCGCGTTCGGTCCGCGCGCCGCTCATTGGCCGAGTGAAGCGGCGGCCATCGCTGCGAGACTCGCGCTCGCCCAATAGAACTGCGTCCCGCTCGCCCCGCCCACTTCCTGTTAGCGAGTCGGCGGGAGAACGCGCCAGTATTCACATGGACCAGCTACGACACGGACGCTCGCTCACTCACGCACACACTCATACCGTACACATACACTCTACACTCACAGAGAAAATGATGCTGATGCGACGAAACAAACATCCGACCTACAGATATGAATATTGCTAGCAAACTATCGCCACGTCAATATGAGGAAACAATACAACGTACACACTCATTAACGATCTTGAGATATCAACAACAATAAATACAAATTAGGTTAATTAAAAAAGACGAGAATCAACACTAGCCCAGGCTTTAAATATAAGACAAATTATAATAATATTACTAGACGAAATGGAGCATTCATTGTAATAATTATATTAAAAAGAATAAGCTCTATACATACTTATAAAACAGGCACGACAAAATTGAATGGCGCTCTAACGTTGTAATTGTCATTAACTATAAATAATATATTTTATTAAACTCTCTCCCAAAGTTAAATGTATAATAGATTCAAAAAGCCGCATAAAACGAATTAGGAAAAAACACGTCATTTTAGTCCGTTTCATTAAATATCGTTCATTATTACATGTTTTAATGGAACAAAAATAAGCCACGGAAACAGCACACAGTGTAGTAAAGTGGAAAATTGTAGGGATACTTGTTATGAGAAAGTAAATTGATACAGACATGAAACGCAATAGGATACTCGTTAAAGCTTTTTGAAAGATACAAAATAAAAAAAAACAGGCTCATCTCGTACATACAAATATTACTTTTAGATACACGAAATCTAAAACGGCTAGTAAAAACATTTCGATATTCGCTTGGTTATTATTTTTTTTCTCGTTTTGATTTGTTATAACTCTTTAGAAAGCATATTAAAATGGAAACGAATAACTGAAATACTGTTGAAAAAGTAATTTCATAGATATCCGTTTACAGGGGTGATGCAACGTCCGTGTTTTTAACAAGAACAAAACTAAAAATACCTAGTTGCTAACTTGTATTATATATGAATTTGAATATGAAAATAGTTCACAGAAGTCGACTCGCGAGATGGAATAATAAAATTATATAAACCGTTTTAATGAAAATATTTGTATAGTTTTGAAGCCTGACTCTCATTATATATTTCAGTGAGAAAACCTCAAATAACTAAGTCCATCTCCAAATTTTTATCTGTCATCATCCCAAGTCTTTCTAGAAGCCTTTCAACGCTGCGTTCATTAAAGCGTATTAGATGGATGGAATATTTCAATAAAGTATTCGTTGGATATATTATATCATAATCTTTTTAAATAACAGTTAGTTATTATTAATATGAAATATAATAAAAGGCTAGTGTTTTACAAGCACACGTGGAGTGGTGTACACATTAAAGTAAACCGTTAATCCAGTACCCTTTTACCCTTTTAGGTAACAGCCAACATAAAGAAACATCTAGACTGACAATGAACCAGCTGATTCGCTTTATCCGGGCTCAAGGTCCCCCAGGCCGAGGGCGGTTCTCTTCCTGCCTCCCTGCACCCTCCCTCGCCCCCCTCCGCACCCCTCGCACACCCGCACCCCCGCACAGCTCCACCTCGACCGGGAGGGCTCGGGCCCGGCCGGGCGAGCGAAAATTCGATATCGGATTAAGTGATATGAAATGCGTACATTTTATGTTACACACGTACACGTACAAATACCTATAGAGGCAGGCTTCATTTATACAAACCGCATACACCCAGTTATCTAATGGATATACCTCTCTTTGTATTTACTTTTAAAAAATTCACTATGAAAAATAAAATTCATACGGCCCGTCCATTTTTCGATGAAGCCGACATAAGCCGTCCGTTTGAATGGTTCATCGCATTATTTACTTTAGATAGCACTGAATAGATGGTCTGTTTTTGATGCGAATAGTAAAACAGGAGCAGCATAACTCTCCAGGCGGCAGTAGACAGTAGGCAGTAGGCAGCCGCTATCCGCATTGGCGCATTGGCCCGAATAAAAAAGAGTTGCTTCAGAGTAATAAGTGCCAGGGAACGGAGCCAGCTATTTACATGGCCCCAGTAATTAAAATATTATAATGATACTAACATAACATCCATTATAGACGCTATATGTATGACGATTACGTTACTTTATATAATTGAATTGTTCTAGAACAGACCGATCGCTAGTGCGTTCTGGGACAAGGTCGACGCTGGTGAGCGGCGGACTTCCGGAGTCTACGTAGGATTTGAATTATAACAGAACACGAGGAGACGTGGGCGGCGTGAGCGACGTGGGCGACATGAGCGACGTCGGCGACGTGAGCGACGCTCAATATGCATTCGTATTACTTATAAACTTTTTGAACGAATGCTTTTGCTCGGTTTCGTTTCAACGTCATCAGATAACATTCAAAATAATAAAGCAACGAATCCATTTAACCGAATAAAATCGTAATAGAGAATATGCCTCAAAAACCATACAATGCGAGTAACCCAATATTAACCGCTGCAGAACAAAGTTATAGAATATTAAAATAGCGCCATAAAAACATGCCACACTTTTAGTAGGTAGGTACATGAGAGGCAACTTCAAAACGTTTCTTGTAAATCTTTTGGCCGCGATTCCGTTGTTTTATTCCATTAACAATAGCTATTCTACAAATACACTAAGATATCTTCTCAAAACGACTTTCTTTTCTTTTGATAACAGCTCGAGCCGTTGATAAAATTACGTTCCCCGCGTTGCCACTCTAATTTACTATACAAACGTTACGTTCCATTGTGACTCGTATGTAGTGTGTAATAAGGTCGACCCTAGCCTAAAGAAAGAATAGCCTAAGCCGGTAAGATCGGAGCGAGGTTGCCGCTCGGTCGTACGCCATTTGCAAGTCGGATGGGTCGCGCGTTACGCCACACTGTCTCAAAATAAAAACAATGCTTCGGTTTTGTATCGCTTATAAAATACGAAACAAAAATAAACATTAATTATAATAAACATAGCGCTGAATACGTCAGGGCGGAATGTGCCGCAGTGAAGACGGACTAACGATGTTAAAACTATTGATATTATGTATAATAAGTCGAGGTCTCTATTACAATGTATAGTGTGACATTCAAATGGTACGGCTTGGAGTTAAAATGTATGTTTTAATAACTGAATATGTCTCCTTTGATCGTGAGACTGTCTGTCCGTCTAGCTGGCAGTTAGTTACACCGAAACATGTAATAAATATTAATAGCCGACTATTCGGTGGAATTGATAACTCCCGGTATGTTTTATATGCGAGTTAGTACTACAAATTGAATGCCTTAGGTTTTGGCATCCGATTCATAGAAGTTTTGTAATGGCTGGCGCGATGTCTCCCTGACTAGTATTTGGCATTATACAAGAAAAATATAAATATACGGTCAATCTGTTAGGTGTCTGTATATTGAAGGACGAACCTTCAGAAGTCATTGGTCGTGATGAGTGTGTGAGTCAGTGAGTGTGGAGCGGGTCCAGCATCCCGTGGCCGGTGTTTAAGCAACTCAAATTACGTCTCGCTACAACCGCCGCCCGGACGTATCGACTTTCAAGAAGCCAATCGACTTTCCCACTCAGATATATGTAGTTATTTTATGTCACGATATTAACACTACTGGCTAGTATGTTCATATGTATTTTGACTGTTCATAATATTCATTTTAACCGATACAAATGTGACTGAAACAAGCACTGATCTATATTTTTTTAAACTGTCGTACAGGAACTTATAATCTACTCTACATTATGATCTCTTCATCATCACATTCTTTCAACATGATCCATCGATTCGTGGAATTTTGTATCACTAAAATTTATACATTTACGTTATTTTTTATTTTCTTGTTATATTTGTAATACTAGAGGTTACTACGTGAATATTTCTTAATTAACTTCGATATTAATATGGATGTACGATTAATTCAGTCATTTTGAGAATGCGATAATAAAATAAAGTTATGTACAGAAACTTAATACATTGGAATCATTAAATATATGTGTATATAGAGAGTCGAACAAGTTTGTTGTGAGTTTTTATTAAACACGTGAGTTATATATAAGCGATGTTTATATGTGTTATGTATTATATGTTGTAGTTATTAATGCATTATAACTTGATGTTATATGAACACCACATTAACACAAGCGCTTATGAAAATAATAATACATTAAAAACAAACATTCCTTGAGAGCGCAACAATATGACAAACGCATTCAGCAAGTATAAAGTATATGAATATAAAACTTATTGAGTTATATTCTTTATTACACAGGATATTTCTAAGAATTAAGGTAATTTATATTCCAGCATGGACTTTCATGAAGACCGTCCAGGTCAAAGTCCGAGATAGCAGTCGTCCCGGAGGAAGGGAAGGGAATTCCTCAAGGAAATCAACGGACGCTCAGCAACGTAATAACAATTCAAATGACTAGATCACAGAGTACATATGTCTATATATAACATATATAAGATATATGTCTATATGACACAGTATTAAAAATGTTCGCAGCGTTATATTGACATTTCGCATAGCTTTCATGTTCGCATTACTCTCGCAAGTCGCAACAAACGAGGATACTTTGTTAGAAACAAAAGAAAATTGTATGTCGATGTGATAAATAAAGCACTGATAGCATTTATATTTATAATAAAATTCATGCAATATAAAGACGTGGATGTCTCTAATGGAAATACATTTTCTTTTGTCATTCGCGTGTATTGTTGTTACATATTGACATTCGCCTTAGTAGAGATAGAACAATAGTCACATGAAAAATCACAACAACTATATATACCTACTGATTTCATATACAGAGACACTTAAAATGGTTAACAATATTATATTATGTGTTCATATTCAGTGTTGGATAGATCTTTATTGGGACTTGGGAGATATATTAGTATTCCTAAACATGTGAATTCGGGACTTGTCCGACGAGCTCGGTGTAAAGCGACCTGTGACGTATCTACTATACTACAGGACTGTTCTGTTTGTTGTATGTATGTATGTGTGAATGATGTAACATTAAAAATATCTGTTATTACTCAAATGATAACCATCCACGAGTTTTCTTGTGTTATTAATTGTATGAATGGTATTGTTTGAGGTCGAAGCGGCAACGCGGCGCCCGCACGGAGCGGCAACGTGGCGCCTCAGTATCCGTCCGCAGTCCGCACAGAGCGGCAACACCGCACACTGATTCAGCACAACGCATTCACTAGCCTCTCCTCGATACAGGATTTACCTCTCACACACACGCACGCACACACACACACACACACACACACACACACACTCACATACGTACATACATGTACACCTATCTGGCTAGCCATGCTATGTTGTTTTATGCTCTAGAAAATTATCTCTATTTGTTCAACTAGAATGTCCGTATGTCAGAGAGCTGAGAGAATATTAACTATAGAGAATAAAAACTGTCTTGTTATAATAAAATAATATGCATAATATGTGTTATTAAATAAAGCTACAATATAAATTCCCTCCACTAATACAGTCAAACCGTTTTCAATGTGTCGAGAGATTTCTTGATGTATGTATGTATGTGATAATAAACAGCCGGTTCATATTATTAGTATTGTTGACACACTTAAGTAGTTTTGTATCAGTGGATTCGAACCCGCGCCATCCGGGATGATGTGCTAGCTTAATGTGTAATTGGCGGAGAGCCGGGGACGACACATCCCGGATAGGAGGAGGATGCTGTGCTCGAAGGACGGGGGACAGTGGACACGGGTCACAGGTCAAAGGTCATATGACACTACCTACATCTTAACAACTGTCCTATATAATATATATTCACATCACATAAACAAAGTCACTACTCAATTGTATTTTATAATACATATATTTAATTATATTTTCCCAACTTCATTTATCTTAAAACGAGCTCTTTTGAAAATATTCCACGTTTTCTTTTCATCAACAAAGTTACATTTGTTGTGATTCACTTTGACGTATTATTTTTATAACAAAAACCACTTTGTAAGTCATCAGATGCTTACATAACACTAATTTCTTAGTTTAAACAGCTCTAGAATATTTTATATACATATATAATAATTTGATATTAATTTTTAGCCTCGCGTAATATTTATATATATTTGTTCGTATATCCGTCTGTGATCCAATTAATGATGAAACTGATGAAGAAGAAACTCACCGGAAGCCGGCTCATGGCGTGAGGGAAATTGTCGTTAATTGAATTTCTATAAAAACAATGTATTATATATATCATCCGGTGTTATATATAATGTTGATAGTATATAATGTGAGCGACGTCATCGTGATAAATCACCGGCTGTAACATGAGTGATGTTAGTACATATGATCAGATTATTTGCTCGTATCTCTGTTTATATAATAACAGTACATATATTTGAGATATATATGTATGTATATTCAGGTGGCACGTGGAACTGGCTATATCTCTTCGGACACTATCATCCCTTGTAATAACCAAGGTCATTTTATAGTAATAACATTGAAGCTTTTCTTTAATCCTTATTCCGTTTTAATTATCTCCCTCTTGATCATAAAGGAAGGACCGAGGCGACGAAGAATATTAATATTTTTTAATTACTCTAAGCTAGCTCTGTTCGTAATTAAAAAACTTCTCTTTGTACGTAGGTACTTGTATGGAATGTAATATTAAATTTATATATATTTGAAGTAAACCACCAAACCCGCACCACTCCTCGGGGGATGGGGCACTAATGTGAATTCTGATTAACACGATGTTAAATAACAGCCGTACACTCTATTCTAATTCTGGCGAAAATCCAAGCACTGATGATACAATGAAGACAAACGGAATTAAAAATCAATGTGCATCTAAAACAACGAAGAGCAACGTTTGAAAACAAAGAAATGAAATCAATCAAATTAAACGTACCTATATTTAAGAATTTTTTGAGTCGATAATTCTATAGCGATATTTGTATTTAGACTAAAAAAATAATCTCGTTTACCATAATTATTTTTGAAGACTTTAAATCGGAGTATAATTTTGAAGTAGTTAGCAATTTTATTAGTAATTTGGTCCAAATACTTCAGTAGTAAATATAATGTAGATATAAAATCATCATAAAACTTGACGAACAGCTGATGATCCGCAAACCAAATAATTTATTTTTGTATTCAATAAATTTCTCAGGAACCGCAAAATCATAGCGATAAAAATTATTAGAGATGACCGCAGAAGTATGTGACCTAGCGAATAAAAATTATCTTCTGAAATGATTGATTTATAGCGATTTAAGCAGATTAAAATAAATCGTTGTTCTAATGACATATAAGATTATGATAACGTTGTTTTATGTGGACTAGGTATAAATGAGTAGCCGCTAACACCCGGCCCCCGGGAGTAGCTGGCGATCACTACACATGAGTGTTGTGTCATATACCGGCTGTACGACGTACCTTCTGATACGAGGATGTCGGTCATTGTACGGGTGCATTGTTCAAATTTGCATATTATACTATACACATTACGAGCACAATCGAAATTATAACCACGACTAGAGTCACTAGAGTCTATTTTGTATTCAAACCGATATGTGATTAACGTATAACCTACAACTACGAAGCGAATTACACTTTATTTACTATAAAATAAGGTCGATGTTGGCTAGCGCTGTTCGTATTCAGGGGAGCGTGAAGATGCAGATCTGACGGTACAATGCACCGGATGTGCGTCACAACTGCCGCTTAAAAAAACCTGGTGACGGCAGAATAGAGATAACGAGAGTGTAACAAACAAACAGACACACCGGCTATAACACACCAATATATATAAGTATTAACAGATATATGTATATATAATATTTGATAAATTTATAAATGATATATATCGTTGTATATAATGTTTTACATTAGTTTAATACTGTTATAATCCTGTAACAAAACTTATTGTGTACGTTGTACATTGTTTATATTGGAGAAAGTGGTGGCTGGTGGTGGTGGTGGTGGTGGTACTGTGACCGTCCATTGTACACGACCCGCAGGTGTTTGTCATAGACACAATACACTAACGAGGATGTATGTATGTATGTATGTATGTATCCATTGTCGATTATATCTCTCAATTTAATCGTTCGACTGGTCGGGGTTTAGCCAGGATGTATTCAAAATATAAGCTTGATGTTCTTGAAGGATTGTTGTACAACACACAACACAGGTCTGCCCGAGTGGATGTAGCACTTTAATTAAATTACAAACACAAAAATAAACCATATGTACATACATATACATTCATGTGGGTGTGTGTTCACCAAGTAAAGTGTTAAGTATAAAGGAATGTGGAATGTTTGTTTTATTGTACTTTTGTATGAAAACATCAATTCCTTATCCCTGACCAAGTCACTCATCGTATTTGTCATAATAGGGTTAGATATTTTTTAGATATGTTTCAATCGAGATTTTTGAATATATATACGTTAAACACTAAATTATAATTTTCAAATTAAACCCCCGCGTTTACTATGTAGATTGCTACAATAATTTGAATACAAATAATGCATCAAATTAATTATACATATTGATAGTCTCTATATCTTCAAAGCATTCGCCTGGGATCTAGTTTCAATAAGTAATGCTTAGTTTAATTAATACAAATATTGAAATATCTCTTTGATATAGTGAAACAGGTCTCTATAGAATGCAGTTCGGAATCACAAGGAATGAGCAGATTCATCTCATCTTGTATTTAATTAAACGAGATCCAGGAAGCTATTTATATTATTATGTTAAAGATATTCCGCATTACATTAGATATAAATAAATATAACACGAACAAACACGATTGTATTAAAGTTATGGTACAGTAAATCATTAACCTACATACTCCCACTTACACAAACACACACACATACACAACTAATAAACTACTATTGTTTGCAAATCAAACATTTTATATTTATGTTCAATGTACAATAGTAGAAAAATTTATTGTGTTATGTATGACGTTGAAGTAATTTAAATTTATTAATATTTAAGACAGAGTTAGACACGAGAAACAAAATTCTAGCCAACTATTATTTAAAGAATTTTGAGATTCTGTACATCTTATAAGAATATTGATTATTTCAAATACAATAGATCTTAATTACCGTTTTTTGTATCATGAACAAAAGAATATTATGTTACTCTAAAACTTAGCTAAGTATTATAACCTTATATTATGATGATCATATTATATTTGTATCTCGAAGTTTTATTATTAATATAACGTTCGCACATAAATAATAACGGTTATTTTTTTAATCTTTAGCCTTTTTTATTTAAAATAATTAACAGAAAACGGAAGTGTGGTGGTAATTATATAAAAACTGTATAAAATGGAACTTAAATTTAGCAAAAGACACTTAATTTAAAAAGTAAAAAAAATGCGCGAACCGGCCCCCGTTCGCTGTTGCCGATTGTAAGTGGGTCGAGACGGCAACGTCGCGTAGCGGTACCGGCTGGGTAGTGGGTGAGGAGCGGCAACGTCGCTCGGTCTCACCCACATACATACATAGTTGGAAGAGTAAGTTATGTACCCGGCCGCTCCGATTTCGACCCAACACGTAGTTACAGCTGATACTTGACGCTCACAAAGAAAGCTAAAACTCAGCTCTTTCGGTATACAACCAGATCGTACGCTGAACTCATCATTTCACTTTAATTATGGACCGATCGACTGAATAACACACTTGGCGTTCTGTAACCGTCATCTTGGATTGTATTCTACAAAATATGTCTTCCTCGCTAAAGATAGACGTTTATTTTAGTAGGACCACCGGCTTTAGTCAAATATAATAAATAAGTATATAGAAAACAACTATTTTTACACGGAACTGAATTATGTTTGCTCGGTGATGGATGTTCATTGGATTTGTCAGTTCTATTCTGTGTATCGTACGATGTCTATCATTATGAAAGTATTTTAGTATTTATAACATAAGTACATATATGTATTGCTAATTGTATTATTCACTAAACACCTCGATTAGTTGCGTCAGCTGTAACCTAAAGGTAATTAATGTCTGGTATTATTTATGAAACAATGTTTTATTAAAACCAGTCCAGTATAATGTCTCGATACGGCTGAACCTCCTCGTGACTCTCGTCGATCATTTCAAACATGTTTTTTTTTCTGTTTTATTTCGTCGTAGTATTTGTATGGCGCGATCATGACACAACTATCGAGCACATTCAACCTGCAATTCGATAACTGCTAATAAAGATAAGTGTGTATTGTTCACAGTACTCACAACAACATTATTATTATAAGCTGTTGATTCATTTCAAAGCGATTCTTCCAATGTCATTCTTAAATCAATGTCAAATAACAATAAGTGATTAAAAACGGTTACGGTATGCGTTTTAAAATGGCGGCGGTAGTAACGGCGGGAACGGTCAAGTATGGTGTATTTATATTGAGAGTAATGCAGGTATTTTACTAATATACTTTATAGAATGTTTCGTTGCACAGTCGACTTATTATATAACACCTACGTTTTACAAAAACATTCTAATACATAGTTAAGTCAACCTACAGCCGTCTCGTGTACGATCCCCGCCAACAGACAGCTGTTGTTCTTTTATTGGGTCAGATTATTTTGTGAACTCGACTCTTACTTGTATTATTTGTATACATAGCATTATATTTGATTTTACCAGGTATCTATCTAACCTAACACGATATTGACGGTACGTGAAATCACCAGAAGTCATTGAAATATAAATGTATATTTTATGATAAAATACATTTTTACTTTTGTTGGCTATATTATAATGAGATCGAAGGACGAAATGCTTCGGTACCTCACAAAGACTTGTAATTGAATACAAAAAATATATATTTCAAAAACAAATTGAAAGATTGAACGGAGAATTAATTTTGATTATTTATTTCAGAACTGCGCGGAGGTAGAATTTTTTTATATAGAACGGTTTTAGCAATATTTTATAAAAGTGTTCATATTTACTTTTACAGTGTATTTAAATACAGGTAACTTGTTTTTGATGTATTTTTATTAAGCGTTCAAAGTATATTCGGTGGCAACACGAATCCGTATTAGAAATTACTCAATGTTTTTGTTTTTATAAAACAAGCTCTCTGTAGGTACCCGTCAGCCGAGGCTACACTCATTTTGGACTTTGGAGTGAGCTGCCATTTTTGAATGTGTAATGAGTTTATATATTTTTCTTATGTAGCTACTACTAACAGTCCGTAACAGTTATGTATTTCCTCACTTGCATTTTGATAAAAAATAATGTAAAAAACTATCTCTAGCAGCCTTAAAAATACATATACATATTTAAATTTTTCCGTGGAATAATATTTGTTTTGGTTTAATATTTTTAAAACTAGGACGTTCGCTTAAATATAAAATGTTTACGACAGATTTGTCTTCCTAAAAGAGATCGGTTAATGTAAAAAGCGTTTCATTTTATATAAGAAATAAAAATGTTTTAACGTAGCGGAGATGTTTTTCGCAGATGTAGTTTATTCCTCCCTCTTTAATGTTAATATTTAATAATATTATAAGCCTTAGCCTTAACGGGTTAAAACTTTGAAAGGGTCCCATGTAAATATAGAACATGAAACATAGCTCGCCAGTAACACACACTCCAATGCCCCGCGGACTGTTGGAGGTTTATTCATAATGGTTTTAAAATTATAACATATTCAACATAAAACCAAAATAAATTCGCGAGGCTATGAAATTAAAAAAACATACCAATCTGTATAGAGAAGATGGCTGGCTTTTATCCAACACCTTCGATTCTGTTATGAAGATCTAAACCCCATGTCCGAGTGACTGTCTGAGACATGGAGACACGTTTAGTGTTCGCATCCAGTACGGTGTACGGTGTACGATGTACGTTGTATGGTACGCGAGACAGTTAAGTCGTCGGCGGTGGGCGACAAATAACATGACTAACTGATTAATTCTCATCTCGTCTTCCCATGAACGCGATTGCTGCAAAGGCGAAAACAAGCGAGTTAAACTCGAACATTAGTTCCAATTAAGACTTATCGATTATCGACTAGTGATGTGTATGTATAGTGGTCCCGAGAGTCCCGACACTAGGACCTATCTCACCCACGGCTCTAACTTGTTTTAAGACAATGAAATTACGTTTGCGACAGTCGTAAGTATGCGGCGCGGCGCGGGGCGGGGCGACAGACGGTCGCTCACCGCCGCGGCAGTCGCACGCAGACCCGCGCCGCGCCGCGACTTCTGGCTCAGGCTGTCTTGTCGCACAACTGTACTATACTATACTATAATATATACTATACTACACTACACAGTGTTACCGACTTTTACATCATTGAGGTATGTGTGCGATATGTTACTTCTATTCATAACGGACATGTAAATGTAATTAGGGAATGTTTTATCTCATTATTAAGTACTTACTTATTGACAAGTTAAGTTAACGACTTTATTGTCTTCATTATTTTTATTGGACAAATATGGTTTAGGGGTTGTCCATTAATCACGTGATCTTTTTTTAGCATTTTTTAACCCCCCCGCCCCCATTGGTGATACGTAGTGAGGTTTAAGACCACCCCCCCTCCCCCTTCTCAACATCACGTGTATTTTTAGTAGCTACAACGAATCTTAAAATTTTCTGAATATTATCTTAATTTAAATACAGGTATAAACTATAATCTTATTTTATTCTGAAATTAAGGACCATAATAAAAATGTCTACACCAGGTTGCAAGTTTTTTTTAAATATTTGTTTAAAAATGTTAGACGAAAAAATAAATACACGTGATATCTTACTACACCCCCCCTCCCCCTTGTGATATTTTCGTGATTTTTATCAAATGTTTACATTTTTGAGCGTAAGAAATTAGGTTCTTAAATCTTATTATACAAAATAAAAAATATATTTTACAAGTAGGTAATACAACAAAAAATAAATCAATAAGTGGGTAGTTTTGTATATCGACATTCATCACGACAAAATGTTCGCAGACAAATAACAACTAGATGCGACATCACTTAAACAAAAACTTTTCAACGTTTTTATTCTTGTTTTATTTTGCCTAGATAGTTACTTTATTTATTCATTATTTGTCCGCTGTTATGAATGTATTTGTATATTTTATGTTTTTGGCATGTTTTTATTAATTTTTAATTTTCTTGTTTTAGTTATTTTTATTTATATATTTATTTGTTTGTTTATAGAATACGTTTTCTTTTATTAGGAAGTGTAAGTTAATAGATGATCTTTTAGTATTTTTTTAAAGGTACGTGTATTTTTTATTTCTTTTATACTTTTAGGAAGGTTATTATATGTATATATACCTATGAGCACTTTCGAATGTTATATTTCTTTTACCATAGTTTGTTCTTGGGGGACGTAATACTATATTATTTGCATTTCTTAGATATGGGTATTGCGGATTATTGTTCTTTAAAGACAAGTTTATATGTATGTGTATTTCATTTGATAAAATTTTTCGAATTATTATGCATGTATAATATTAATATGTATTTTTTATATTCATCAATTTTGCTTCCTTATATATTTTCTCTGTTAATAATAATAATTTTAGGTGTGCCTTTGCCCTTTGATATACTTAATTCGCAAATTGTTCTCACCATTTGCAGTGTAATTCATTTTTAAGATTTTTGTATTGCGCTTGCTGAAAAGGTGTTTGATCCGGGAAGATCTTTAATTGATCGTTCTTCAACTTGTTTCTGTTTCGTTTCTGTTAACTTGGCCGATTGTTCTAATTCGAAGTGTACTTTAATAGCACGAATATTGTTTGGTTTATATTTTCCGATTCTTATAACTTTGGTAGGTACAGGGCAGTCCTTAGAAGTTTTTAATACCTCTTCTTTATCATGGGTATGACGTTTCTTAGAATCACTCGATTTTGGTTCCGGAACACCAGACAGTATTACGTTTTTTCTTTCGAAGAGTTTGTTCGGTAATTTCCGCCAACATATCTCCATATAAGTTTTCATCCAATGTAGTCAAACTATTCCGGGACGTCTTAATGTTTTGTACACTACATTCCAAGGATACAATTCTGGTTTCCATTTTGCCGGTAATATTTAGTATTTCTGTTTTAATTTTTTTCTTGTTCCATGTTTATAGTTAATAGTTTTTGTTCAGTCTTGCCTATAGTTGCTTTGATTTCTAAAACTTCATTTTTTATTACAGTAATGTCGCTCGCTATTTTTGTGGAGCTCTCGTTTTGCGTATTTATATACGTTGTTAAGAGAAGCATCATTTCAGCTATTTGTTTTTGGATATCCGCTAGTTGATTATTCATATCATTGTCTGAACAATATTTGCGTTTATTACGTATAGTTAGTACGTATATGAGATAGATTTGGCCAATGCGTATCTTCAAAAAAGGGCTATATCTGATAAAAATTCCAAGGCGTATGTTATATGGAGTCTGTATGCAGGGGGAGAGCAGTAGCAGTCCTAGTATGATCAAGACGACCCTGTACCAGCTGAACCCCGTCCGCCTGATAGAGGAGATCAAGAAGCGGCCAGGTCTATACCGCACGGACCAGCCCGTAGACAGGGAGGAGAAGCTGCATCTGTGGAAGGAGGTCGGGGCTGCCATCTACGAAGACTGGTACTCCTTCAACAAGGCCACGGCCTACGACAAAGGTACACTGACGCTCTCTCCTACCAGAACCGACCCCCCCGCCTCGCCAGTGACTAGAACTATTTGTATACCATGATTTATAATGGTTCCGATGCTACCCAAGATTCCGATGATAAATTTTGTGAGCACTGCCCTAATTCGACTTTAGACGGAATTTATTTTTTCTACAGGCTTGACCCAATTTTATGTCGTAGGTTTCAATAATAGAAGATTCGTAATTAGTAGTAAGGGTATATATTGTTTTGTTTGTGATGTCATATAATGATTGGTGTATGTATGTAAGGTGTTCTGTGAACAGTTCTCCAGTTGCAGCGCAAGTGGCGCTCCCTCCGCGACGCTTATAACCGGGAGCTTCGAGCCCGGAGAGCAGCCCCTCGCGGGAACAGGCGCGTCTATATATACTTCAAACCAATGAGCTTCCTGGGAGGCTTCGACGGAGACGTTAGCGACGAGTCAGTATCGTGATGATGATGACGATAATAACACAACACACACTTAATGTTCTGTTGCTGAACATAATAACATAATTGCTCCGGTGTATCATTAAGCGAATAGTTATGATGTAATACAAATTAAATAGACAATTACCAGACGTATCCTATCACGTCGAGTCTCTTTGGATGTTTTAAAACTGAGTAGGGAGGAAAAGTTAACACGACTAGACAGATGGTAGATAAAAACTAGATTATAGTTATGGTGAGTAGGTGAAAAATGACAGCCCAGAGATGAGGTTGATTAAAGGTTACAAGACAGAGATTATAGCGAGAGAAACAGACAGGTTTAAAATGTTAATTAAAGATTAGAGGAAAAATGCAGTTTACACATTAATGAGTCAGTCCAAACAATAATCACGGCGATCTGTAAATAATAATATTTTATATTCCAGCGAGGATCACGATAGAAACCGTGTTATATTCAGAGACGTTCAGGATCCGTTGTACGGGGGAGCGACCAAGAAAAGGAAGAGGAGGAAGAGAAGACAGTCCAGCTCGGACGGCGAGCACGAGCCCAAGGAACAGGAGGTGAAGGTGTTCCCGGGGGAGAGGGCCGACGGAGAGGACAGCGACAAGCTGTTCCTGCTGTCCTTCCTGTCCGAGATGAAGCAGCTGCCGGCTCACATCAAGATGTGGGCGAGGGCGCAGATCGCCAGCGTGATGCAGAAGGCCGTCAGCGACCACTACGAGAACAACCTGCCCAGAGAGAGGCTGCAGTCCACCAGCCCCAGGAGAGACAGCTCCGACTCACTCCAACAATGATATACTATACTATGATATAGCATTCCATTATATATTCAGAAGATTTTTTATTTTATTATGTTTAGTCATCGTAAATTCCAACATTATAGTTTTATAATTTATTTCAATAAATATGAATCTGTTATAAATGGATTTAATTTCAACCACGCCTATTATATAGCTATATGGACAGTTCCAGCTCTGTATTCAAGTACTTTATAAATAAATAGGTTTTCTTTTCTGGAACTGCTAAACTTGGCCTGTAATGTCGTCTTCCGAGTCATATTCCAGTTTTACGGTACAACTTTCCTTACTCGAACTACTTTAGCATATGGGATACATGAAGAAAATTTATGTCTTTACAAAAATAAAAAGTGTTGCTACTCTGTTGCTGCACGGTTGAAATACTTTGGATAGATACATGAAAAATTATAGGAGCGACTATATTTGATCTCACTATATTTATATACTAGAGACGAATTGATCTTTCAATAGGATTCTGTTGCTAAGTTTTTAAAGTCGGAATTGTTTATATATAATACGAACTGAACTACAAAACGGCTGGACCGATTAGTATGAATTTTATAAGCATCTGAGGGGCACCCAATGGTTTAGAATTTCAAAACTAGGTCATTAAAAGTTATATGGATTGTTTTAAAACACTATACACTTCTTTCTAAGCTCAACTCTGATGTAAACGCGGACGGAGTCGCGAGCAACAACAAGTACATATAAATGTAAGTATATATAATTATCTCTGTGTCGTTATTCCACGGATGACGTCAGCATATCGAAATTCAATAAATGTTGATTTGCCATGAAAAACATAATGTTCACATGTCGAACGTTATCAAAGTACCGCGACCGCGCCGAGCCGCTGAGCCGTAGTAGGTATATATATATATATATATATATATATATATATATATATATATATAACCGTATATACATATATAACCGTGACAATCTATCCCAACACGTTCTCAGACGCCCTTCAAACAACTTCAATCTCCCGCTTCACGAAAACCATTATTGGGATTCTTGATTCATTGCGGACTAAATAGAAATTTGTTTACATTTCAATAATGCTAGGACGCTATCTGGGAGCCGATCACACGATAGTGGAACCTAAAATTATGGTGTTAAGGAAACTTTGATGCTGAATTTGAAGATTACTTTATAATTCAACATAGTTTATAAAGCAGCTGCGGCGACCGCAACTGTCGTTAGTCTGCGGTAAGCGACGTTGCCGCTCTGAGACACCTCACACCTCGCATCTACCTTATCCCTTTGTAATAGAGTCTAATTTCGTTTGACAACTTTCTAAGATACAAATGACCACGATATTTAGCTGGACTCCCGACTTCGTCTTTCAGTCCGGATCCTAGCGTATATTTGACATAATACAATTAACCATGCTGTTTCTCAGTTACACGCGATAGGGAGATGATATTCCTTAGTATTTATATATATAATTCTTCTGTGAGTGTGTATGTCACTGAACTTCTCTCAAACGACTGGACCGATTTTAATGAAATTTTTTGTGTGTGTTCAAAGGGATCTGGGAATGGTTTAAATTCATAATTTTGTACGCTGGAAAATGTTTTTTACATTAGATTTGACAACTAACTAATATGTCAATCATTCTGTCGCACTTCAAAACACGGAGATTTATGGCTTTAATAGGTAAACTCCAAAAACATAAATAAAAAAACGTAACAGATATTTCTTATTAATATAGGGCGATACAAACACGGGTCTTCTAGTAGAAATATAAAGTAGTGGGTAAGTCAGTAGACGGTGTGTTCTCATCAAAAGAATTAATTACTTATAATGTACATTGTAGTCAGTAGTAAAAGATGAAGATAACGGAAACTCTAAACCGGTCGATGGTCAGCTTCATGGCGTGTTAACAAAGGAAGTCGAGAACATACAATACATGCATCAGGAAAGTTAAAAGTTATTTTAGACAAGACTGAGAGCTGATTGTCTTTGTAAGATATAGGTATGTCAAGTATAAAACATGAAATAATATTACAAAGACGTCGCTTCAAAGCTAACAGCTTCACTGCTTGAGTTATTTATATAAATCTTGAAGGTATATAGCATATCACAGCCAGGGCAGACGTCACTGAGAATTCGTACATTCCTTGAGATGCAGGAGTTTACTTTGAGACTGCTAAAAGGACTGTTCTCCGACCATGAAGAATACTTGTGAAACAGAAATACATATTTAACTCTGTAATATACATCAGAGAATCTGCACTCTGTTGTCTTTGTTGAAAGGTTGTACCATAACTAAGTACTAACCATATACTTCCATTAAAACTAACAAGGAGAACATGGATACATAACACAATATATTATGACGAGAACAACGTTATATATATATATAACAATATATTAGAAAGTAGTCAGTGGTGACCTAGTGGTTAAAAAGGCCCGCGTCTTATGCACGAGGGCGCGGGTTCTATCCTGGCCCGGGCAAGTACCAATGTGATTTTTTCGAGTCATATGTACTTTCTAAGAGTATTAGACATCACTGATTAATGCTGATTCCCAAAGAGGGTTGATGTCAGGCAGGCGGCCGGGCGTAAAAACAAATAGCCAAAACTATTCACAATATGTAAGGCAGATCCTGGATATAGCTGGGAAATTGCCAGGTAGCAGAAGAAGAACAATATATTACAAAGCATGACGTAATCGATCTGTTTTCAATTAAACTTCAACATTAGTTAGTTTTTTAACTTTCTCTAGGTGTCTACAAAGTTGTCTTTGTATAACTGAGATCTACGATAATATGTATTGTGTAAATATTAATTGTATTTATGATGTTAAAAGTAATACGTGTTATCTCTATTGGTAGTTAGATTTAGCTCGTGGCTTTGCTTGTGTACAGCGGGAGTATTTGTTCTAAAATGTGTCTTATTGATGTATGTATATACTTTTATATTCATGATATCGTTCAGTATGATTGTGTCACAAAAACACACATAAAGTTTATCATTTTACGATTTTTATTATAATACTGTATAGCATTAAAACTATATGATAAACTATGTAAAGTTTTCATTGTAATAGTGTTGTATAAAATAGTGTTCTATCACGGCCATTTAATTATTCGAACTCAATAGAGCGGCTTTTTATTCTGTGATACAATTTGCATATTGAATGCTCGCTTTTAAAGAGTCCGTGTTAAAAAAGCACAACCTAACATAATTACAATGATTAACGAGCGCTCTGTGGACTCAGCCTCCCTGTGCCCCGTCCGACACCACTCACCAGCGCCAGCGCCGGCACCGGCACCTAGTGTTTCATTATAGCTTTTTTTCTCACGACGTCCTTTGTGTAATACAGCCATTTAAATTATCATACTATTTAATAGCATCTCCGTAAGAATAACGACGCCGCCATTTTGACTCCGGCCTCGTATCGGCGTGCGGTGTGCGGTGTGCCGTGAGCCGTGGCCACAATAAGAACATTATCTACATGTAGTCAGAGGTATCCAGCCGCTAGCCAGCCAGCCAGCAAGGAGCTCGATGCTCATAGACAGCAACAAGTCATAACAACATAATTGTACAGTCACTCGGTCTGGAGAAGCGGCAACGTCGCGGGGAAAGTGTCCCGGGGCGGCAACCTCGCACGGTCGATAACGGCCTCGCGCGGGCCGGGGGGCGGGGGGCGAGAGGGACGGAGCGCGGGAGCCACGGTGAGTTAGACAGAGACAGAGCTATAGAGAGGTGCCGCTGCGTGTGAGGGATGCGGGGTGAGGGGGGCTAGGGGTGCAGGGGGTGTCGGAGAGTGCAGGGGGTGCCGGTGGAGGAAGCCAGCGGTCCGCGGGGACCGTATAGCTGACCCTTCCGATTACGTTAGGTTGAGTCATGTATGTATGTGTTGAATGTTACACACACGCGCACACACACACACACACATGTATAATATCAAAACACGTGTCTTTTGTTTATTGTGGCCGTAATGCGACTCAACCTACATATCTCTAATATAAAAGTCATATTCGATAGTAAAACGGTAATGTCGTATATTTATAATTAAACGGTGATGATACCATTCACATTTATATGATAAAACGCGCAATTTATTATATATACATATTATATATTATATGACGCAGATTTCACCGATTTTGTTATTTAACTAAATTTTTGAATACATTATAATTGAAAATATATGTAATTCCATATACCTAACTCAACATTAGTTAAAAAAAATATGCTTATACAAAACGCGTATTAGAACAAAAAAATATTAAGTTAAATTATGACCTAGTTAATTTAAATGCCAAAGTAATTACGTTTCTTTGAATTTTTTGTTTTATTAAGGGGCCTTTGAAAATAATAGCTGTGTAATTCTACTTTGTATGAGTACTTTATTAATTCATTAGGTATATAATGTAATATTTTTATAAAATTTATTATTTCTTTAATTTTCTTGTGTTCAAATGGTGTCGCTATAAAAGCCTCTGTAGTTCACGTTCAGATGGCAACAAAGATAGTATCTCGAGAATATAAAGTATTAAACAACTTATGAAGTTCTTGGAATATTAATAATATTAAAATTGTATTGTATAAACGTTGATAAAGTACTTATCGTTTGATATATCTTAACATAAAATCTTATTTAATCAATATGTTATCATGCGCGTGAACCCTGGAGGCGTGAGGTTGTATTAAAAGATAGTATACAATATTCTTTATATATATAAAATAAAATTGTGTTAGTTAAACTATTTATAACTCAAGAACCGCTCTACGGATGTAGTTGAAAATTGGCGAGGAGATAGCTTAGTACCAGGAGACCGGACATAGGATATTTAATTCTGTTCGATCGTAAAAGAAAAAAAAACTCAATAAATTCCAATATCTGGTTATTTATGGCCTCTAGAGAAAAATAGAGTTCGCCCGGTCAACTATACATATATTACTAATTCAGAAATTAACGCGGACGTAGTCGCGGACAAAAACTAGTGTTATATAAATATAATATAGAAAGTGTTCATCAGCCCGCTTAGACTTGGATAACCTTCAGTGAGCTGGAGACAAGCTGACACGCTTCCGTAAACTAGAATATAGGTGAATGGATATATATACATAATATATAGGAGCACTATGTGTGGTTAAAATAATACTAATTACATAATGAACACGAAAATTAACATATAAGACGTCTTTGATCGTTAAAAGTGATTCGTTTTTTTAATTATAGACATTATTTAAGATAAAACTTAATATTAGATATAATAAATTTTATTTAGTTTGTGTATAATGTTATAAAACGTATTGTAAACCGCGACAAGATCTCTTGGTCTCTCAATACATATGTACATGTATATAATGTGAACAAGCCACTTGAAGACATGTGAAGAACACTGGAAAGGTCAACAGAATGTAGACGTGGCGAAATTATGTATAAGGTTCTCACTGGCTCTGCACTTTTATTCTGTTTGTTTATACTTCTTTATATGGAATGGAATATGTTGAAATGAATATTATTACACAATATTTATTAAGAAGCGGAATACACGTGTCAGATCAGCCTCGGTGGTCTCATGTATAGACCCAGTATATCAAGGATAACTGATAAGCTACGCTTAGAAATGTTATACCACGGTTTAAAGTTAAATTTGTTTATGTAAGACACAGTTTAAAGATTTTTTAAATAAGCTAATAGTCATTTATACAATTGTTTTGATATTGGAAGGTAATATTAATAATATGCGTTTTAAGTCAGTTTTTTCATTATTACAAACATATGTTTTTGTCATATAACTCCATTATTAATATTCTGTATAATATTATAGTTGGATAACTTCGTTGTCTGCTGAGACCCTAGTATCGGAAGACCTAAACCTCATAACGAGTTTGTATAGAATTAATCTTGATAATATAAACTAATTGATGACTAAATGTGAATAAAATGATTAAAGCCGTTACAATAATACTTCAACTCTTATGATTTTATTTAAGTAACAAAATTCCGTAACCCTTTCTCATAAAAAATCTATTGATTAATACAATATCATTGAAATAATGTTTCAAAAATATTCGATATAACAAAAAACTAATATTTTATAAAAAAACAAAGTTCAGTTTAAGACTGATGAAACGAAAATATCTCCGGGCCTACAGACTATTAACTCTTAAAATAGTACGTTTATATTTACGTAATCGAGCAAAACAAAATCGCAAGTTAACCAAAGGTTTGTTTCAAGATGTTTCAACGCGTTAACACACATAGTCAGGATAAATTACTTTTTGATTCCCAAAACTATACTACAATGACATAAATCTGAGTACGCTTTTTCTTATATCTTCAGATAAGTCTGAATTAAGCAATTAAGCAAGGCGATGCGATGTTTTGTAAGTATATTACATGGCGTCGTATGTATACGAAGTTCATGGTCACATTATTAACATACAAAAATCTTGCGAGGAGTGAGGATGGTTGTGTTCAATACGTTCAGAGTTTAGTTCAGTAGTCAAGCAACATACGGTGACGCAAGCGGCGTGCGGTAAATACTGGCACGGAGCGGCAACGTCGCCGAGAGGGATGCCGTGACTCGTGAGGAGCGGCAATGCGATCGATGGCTCGGTTAAATCAATTCGGTGTTACGTGCAGAAACTTGCCACTTTTTACCTCTACTTATATATTTATGTATTCAAATTTAATACATGCTTATTTTCTTTGTACACAATGTTTTCACGTTCAGGACACACACATGTTCCCAGTAAACGACAATACATATTTTAAAGTATGCTATATACAGGGTGACTGGTGAATTACTATCAATATTTAAGGAGCATACTCGGTACATGATTCTCATTCGAATTATGTAAAAAAAAAGGTACTTAATTTTTGACCAAATTTCCGTATAAATAAATAAAGTGTGGACACGTTCCAAGTGTTCCAAGTGTGGACGCGTGAGGCGCCGTGCTGATACAACACCACGCCCCGCTCGCGTATGTGTGTGTGTGAGTGTATACCTAATCTGTAGGGTGTTCACACGATGCGTAATTAATTACATAACTTTTGGTTAACTTTACTCAGAAGTTTATTAATATTTATGTTATATCAATTTTTATTTTGTCATATATGATCGTCAAATATCACGTCCTCAAATATCGATAGTAATTCACCAGTCACCCTGTATATTTCCTGTGTTCGAACTCAATAATAGACTATGCTGTGTTCTAAGAAATTGTCTATGATTGTTATAGCTAAACACCTGTCAAAGTAATCGTGGAAGGAAACAGGAAGGGCCCTGCCTTGAACCTTAAAACGAACCTTTTAGCAAAGAAAACAACACCGCACATGATTACCTGGTATTTGATCTACCTATTGTTGATGCGAGTCAACAGATTTTATTAAATTAACTAAATGAGAGAAGTCATAAATTAATTTTACAAAACTTTAAGACTCATAATCTGTTTATAGTATAATGTGGAATTATATTTAAGGTACAGTAAGTTTACTGTAGTTGCAGTTGCTTGTGTACTTTATCAAGTCTTCAACATGCCACAAGTTGTTGTAGAAATTATTTGTTCTTATTTTAAATCCAATTTAAGTCAAACGCAATAACAAAGTTACAAAATTATGTAAAATTACTTGCATTCAAATGTTTCACTTTCTCGGGAAATATCAGTCATTCTATAAAAAGTCAAAAATATTGTTTTGTTTCAAACCATTCTAGAAGAAATATGTTTGCTTGACATGATCCAGGTGAGGTGTGTTATTCAGCATTATTACAAGTTCTAGAATCATATTCCTTACAAGACTCAAGCATATAATTTTCTTCATGGTCGTACCTATATAAAAGACCAGTTTGAATTTTGGTCGGATTCCTTTTTATAAGTAAAATTAAATGCCAATAAATTTGTTTTAGTTATCATCATGAACAATTTAAAATTTCAAACCATATCTTTGTTTCAAACCAAACAAAGCCTCTATTCTTTTTTTATTCAATAAGCTTCTTTATTTTTTAACAGCATCTTGTTGTCTAGAAATACACCTAATCATCTTTGGACCAACAGGGATCAGTAATCATCTTAAGTGATGTGACGGTATCACTCTTTTTATATGGAACTTTTATAACATCATCCTTAAATTTCATTTATTTGTCTTTCGCATGTTGCATTACAGCCGACGCTGAGAAGGGGTACAGACTCTGAAGATATTGGATTTGATTGTAGCAGGTTACTTTGATTCTGAACTCTCTTATTTGTAATAAAACTCATTCTTATGATTGTATATTACAATCAATGGTTTAAATATTAAGCTCAGCTTGGAAATTGGCTCCATCATCCATATTATTGGATATTTTAGGTTTTAACAGGGAAATATCTCATCTATTGAAGATTTATCATTATGATTCCCAGGTATTAAGTTATGATTAACAATTTTTTTTACTAAATATACTTTTTAATACCTGCAATTCCAAGTTTCAATAACAGCATAGTTTAATGAAGCTTTCCAGAGAATTTTTAATTCCCATCTTGTATTTCAAATTGATATTGGAGTTGAAGTTAATTGATATCGGAGTTGATTGATATTCAAGGAATTTGAAAATTTATATTTTTAATAAGCAATTTTTCTCATTTTGAAGTACGTATTTTATAATTCATTTACACAGAAAGGTGGCTATCACTGATTGGTTTTCCCAGTAGTGCAATATGATAGAAATACTAAATAGGTTTCTTCACATTATTCTAGCTGAGCCATGATTTCAACTGAGCGGTTTT